TGCCTTTAAAAACATCATGGATACGATGTATTAATACATCTATATTTATTCTCAATAGATTAATAATAAATAGATCGATAGATTAAAATCCCATGGCCATGATGATGATAGACTGGTGGTAAAGGTAGCTGCGAGGCATACAGTGACTTCAGTTAGCATTAATAGATTAAATTGTCATAGTGTTAAAGGGTAGCTCTATATTCTAGTGGATACGCAGTCAAGTAGTTATTTTGAGATTAAGGCGACAGTTAGTTAGCATTAATAGATTAAATTCTCATGCTATAGATAGCTTAAATGTGGTGTAATATGTAAATATGTTCCTCACAACCGGACATTGGTGTTTGACAGATTATGATTAATTAGCGTCGCTGGGAGAAAAAAATTATATTATAAAGCATACTAAACATAATATTAAACATTAAAAGTCTTGCATGATATTTCTTTATTGTATCAATTCGTAATATTGTCTTAGTAATTAGTTTGTGTATATTAGAACGAGAAAATAAGATCTGGTATATACGTATTCACTATTCAGTGAAATAGTGGCCGGGCTACATGATATGATATATTATACTAGTGGACGGGTATTCTGGAATACTTCTATTTGTGGAAAGTGATCTTGATGGTCGCTTTGAATCTTCCAGTATTTCCTTGCACGCTAGTTATCGTAGTTTTCAATTGGGATGATATATAGTTTTAATTTGCAATAACAGTTCTTGAGTATTTTCGGAACCAGAAAAACAAGTTTGTAGATTTACTATGGCATCGCGAAGCAAATCGTTCATCTTTTTACACGTGGTCGAAGAAGAACAACGTGGAGTGATGGATATATGGTGCACCAGTGGGTTACGCAGGGTACGAAGGGATCCATCGATAACGCGCGGAGGCCTGAACGCGGATGAATGATGCGTCCGACTATCAATGAGGAGTCCGACTGTCTACGGAAAAAAAATTTGCGACGCCGCCGCCTTCAATTCGCGGCTAGCCCTGGGTACGAGGTTGCGCGGAACCAGGGGCAATGGGAGCATGTGCCTCCCCACCTTTTTAAAAGTGAAAAAATGCCCTTTTGGTGGGTTAGGAAGAAAGTGCCCTTTTTGCAGTAGTAAAGACTCTTTAAAGGCCATTTCCGACGTTATAGGGACTCCATATTTTCAAAAAAATTTTCGTTCGGCTCGTGAACGACATAAAATCGTTTGATTTTAATCATAATTATACAAACATGATTCCGTGGCCTCTGGCATTAATTTTACCATCACTGGTTAAAATTAAGCAAAGATTGCTTAAACATTGCTTAAGAATAGTTATAAATTCCAATTCATGTGAATACCGCACAAATTTCGAAGCGCAGTTCTGGTGAAAAAGGGCAACCTGTTGCCCCCGTGCCGCCCCCGCACTGTTTCGGCAACGGGGGCAGTTGCCCCCGTGGCTCCGGCGCCCCTGAATATTAAAGTCCCTATTTTGAAAAAAAAGATTTGAAAACAAGGTGTGATTGGAAGGCATGGACACATAATAAAGATCAGTAACAGAAGAGCCACTCAGCGGTGCAACGGTACGTGGCGTTTTTTTTATGCAAAAATGTGCAGTTACTGGCCGGAAGGCGGAGCAACCAGCCAGTACAGAGTCTTTGTTGGCCAGAAAATGTCATTGACTGGCTATAGGAAAATGGCGGCCAACATGCGTAATGTGACATGCGCGAGGACAGAAACTTCAAAGCATTCGACGTAAGTGGCCCTTCTGTATGGATCTTTACTTTGTGGCATGGAGAACAGTGGGGTTTGTACTAACTACTTTTAAGACAACAAAAGTCCTCTGCAGCCTATTGTTATGTAAACACTGGAAAAACTATTTTTCAGATCAACACAAACAATTCGTTCATGCACCCATGATTCAATAAACACGGACCTAACTTAAAAGCCTTCAATGACAATGGACCTTAGGCCTGTTTCAAACGTCGCGCTTCTCGTGTGCAGAATGCATATAATGATGCATTTTAGCGGACACATGAGAAGCGCGGCGTTAATTTGAAACAGGCTTAAAGTCATTTGAAAGAATTAATTTCCAGCTTCAAACACGTAAACAAGTTAAGCACCGCGGTATCTATTCCCCAAGGGAGTTCAGACCAATGCATGCTTTCAGCAGTAGCCAATGATAGCAAAGCTTTTGCAAGCTAAACCAATCAGAGCTCGTAAAAATCTGACGAACCAAACAAGGGTGGGGTTTACGCATTCGTGGAAAATTTGAATATTTCTGCTCGAGGTTTTGAGGCGTGATTTTGACTCAAAGTTTAGGAAAGTACACAGCAAAGTTAGTGTAAAACTTCGCTTTTATGAAACGTTTTCGAAATAAAATCGTTATACCATGCAGAGGGAAAGGTCAGTATTAAGTTTAGCTATTTTTTAAACGTTTTTGAGTTGTTCTTGTTAATTTATTGCTGTTTTTTAAAACACGCGTGTCTATATTCATTGTAGTACGTATTTAATTCCCGTTCAAGCGCTTCGTTTCAGTACTCAGTGGCTTTAATTTCTCACTGTCCCTCCCTAATTTCCTAGCAGAAATGTTCAGAAATACCCCCAGCTTTGATTCATTTAACTCATATTTAGTCTACCTGCAATTTCAGGGCGAACATTTGAAGAGAAAGTGAACTAATTTAAGTCGCCGACATTGTCGAAATGCCGAAGCACTTGGTAAGCATAATGTCCATTAATAAAGGCGTTCCCTTCTTGTTGTTTGTTTGTTTCTCGTTTTTAAGCTTCCCCAGTACACCTAGAACGTCTTCTAGCATTGCTTTGTAGCCTTATATGAACACTCCGAGTCAAGTTTAGTTACAATATTGGTGAAACTTTTGTCCATACCGAGCGAATTGCAGACTTTACTTTAGGCAAGGTCAATTTCACATACAGGCGTGGTATATTATTTTAGAACATTTTAGCTTTTACAAACTAGTCGTTTATGTACAAATTGTTCTCTGAGACGGAAAGCTAAGCTTTTTGAGTTTTTCGAGGTTGTCGAAGTCGAATTTCATCTAATATTTTTACGAAATTTCGAGACGAAATGTCCTCGTGGTTCATGCCCTAATTTTATGCATAGATGTACGCATTCTTTAAAATTAAAATATACATTGAATAGCTCTTCGTTGTTTTGAAACTAAAAATTCATTGTCCAATTTTTTAGACTGCCTGAAAGTCGAACATTTCAAAGGCAAACAGTACAGGAAGGCTTCTGAACAGATTTGAAGAGGCGCTCGCCCAGCAGTCGAAACAAAACGAGAAAGACGAGAAGGCAAAGGACAAATGAGACCAACCGCCAGCTCGATTCCTTTGCGAACCCACAGCATTGTCAGATTTCGTTCGTGCAAAGTTTGGAAGAGATAACCACTCATCCAGGGACTGTAACGAAGGCACATAATAACATACTCGAACATGCAGTTTGTGCCAACGTAGATAGTGATAATGACACCAAAAAGCTGTAGATGATCATTGATCACTGATCATCATTAGATTTCGCTCAACCAACCAATTGCGAAGACATACGAAGCGTCGTTAAAGATGTTGTACATTTCGGGATTCTCGTTGTGCGTGTTCGAAAGTACGTGGGACGCCACCTTGAAGACGCCCAAATGCACAAAACAAATTAAATTAGAATGTGGCACATTTTCCTTAATTTCGCAATTTATTCAAATTTTCTGCATTTCTTGGTATTTGTGAAAAGCTCTAAACGAAATCGAAATGTTTGAAATTCGGAAGTTTCTATCTGGGAGTTTGTTTATTTGAAAGATATTTGAAATGAAATTTTGAAGTTTACATCATTTTGGTATTTGGGTTAAACGCTAGGTAAAATCATGCCAGATGAGTGGTTGACCATTCGTCGACGTTGGGTGATATTTCGACTCGGACTTTCCCGACCTCACAGTCAAGTTGTTCGGATCGATTGTCGTGATCAACTAGCACAGGTGCAAGGTCTGCCCAACCTTACATCAGTGCTTTTTGTTCGTGGCATGAGATTGGGACAGCTCGCCTGTAGGCCTGGAAAGATCAAGCCGAAGTACCACCAAACTTTGATTTGTTGCCGGCTTTTTGTCTGTATGGCTTTATCCAGCGTTTTTCCGTTATCACCTTGATGCAGACTTTGGGATTTTGGCTTGAATATCTTTAATATAGACATTCTTTGAGGTTTAATCTTTCAAGAATTTCATGGTTTTTGACTAGTTAATGTGTTTCTCGCAGATACTATAATTGTATTAAAATATTGACAAAAAAAACTAAAACTGACCAAAACATCATTTGAGGTGTCGGATGGGAGGGTCCAGTGGGCGTCGTAGCGGATCAATGGATAAATACGGATAACTGTGACACTGTGTACTATTGGAGATGTTGTGAACATTTATGGATAATTGTGAACATTAATGGATTACAACGAACACTAGATTATTATGAACATTTGTGGATAAAATGTACTTCGCGATCGACGGTTACCTACCAATGTACCTTGACAACGAAAGCTACACGACGGCAACGAGATGACTGCCTCAAGGTTAGAGGGTTTAGTCTGATAACAAGCAGTTGTTCGCTTGTTATCATGCAGTAGTTAGCCTGCTAACAGGCAGTATATCTGTAGGATTCATACCCAGGATTCTAATTTGCATGTGAAGTCTCTGGGTTAACCGGTTTAAAATTCCTGGCGGTCTCTCGTTAGTAGTACATTTGCACGCAAGATTGATTTTCATTCAGATGTTTGCATGCTAATACCAATTGAGGTACAATTTTGACCTCAGTTAATTAGAATTTCGACATCGTCTGCAATCGAAAGTCGATCTTAAAGAGGTTAACATTTGAGCTTTCGGTCACGTGGTTCGTTGCATGCACTCGGTTCGGTTATTGGTGGGTTTCAGTAAATGTTACAGTCCAGGCAATGGTCAACATTAGAAATGTTGGCACTTCCTGGAGCAATTTATTTGCTTCAAATACAAGACTACTACATAAGTGAAAAAGAATGAACATTATTCTTTCACTCCAGTAACTCGTAGTGAGACCCACTAGGTATTTGCGGTCTGTTCGTGCCAATGTTGTTCTCTTTGTGTAAATATACTGCTTATGTGTCTCCGTGTCTGTGCATGGATGAACGCAGTGCGCAGCTAGGTATCCAGAATATAGGCAGACGAGTAAAACCGTGCCAGACTTAAAATTTTGTTTATATCGGTATGTTACGTTCACAAATGTATAGAAATATCATGAAATGTGTTAAGCTTTGGCTTGGGGTTAAATCTAACCCTGTAATCTTAACCTTAATCCATTACATGATCTGTATGTTTGTGTACGTAATATATGGGTGTTGCCAAAATTTTGTTGAAAAGCTGGCATAGTTTTCCTTGGGTAGGATAACTAAACTGGGTGCAAATTGTATCCATAGCTTAGAGGGTGCAAATGGTACCCGTAAGAAGATTGGTGGATATCGTCGTGGACAAGATTTTTTTTTGAACGATGTGGGTTGTCTCCGGGTACTCCGGTTAACACCTACAAAAAGATCAGCTTAGGACTGTAATGACATAATTATTGTAAATGATAAATAGTGCGTGGTTTCGTCGCCCGTAGTGCATGTATATCGCTGGTTTCGAACGTTAGTTTTCTGCCCCGTGTTAAATGAAAACATTTCGCTACCAGAGATTAGGTCCCCTCTCTGTTATGGCCGCTCGACGATGGAAGACATTAACATAAGGCATGCAAACCTTACCCCTGTTTGTGGAAGCTCGCCAGGTGCTATGACACACTAGGTTAAGTTAAGCTAGGGGCATGACCGAGACTCCACATTCAGGGGATTCCCTTGCAGGTTTTTGAAAGGTTATATGCGCGCGCACTAGTTAGAAAGGTTAGACAGCTAGAAATCAGGCGCTTTTGCTGCTTTTTGCATGTATACTATAAGGCATGTATACTATAATGCATGTATACTATAAGGCATGTATCACTATAATTCAATATCGTCATACTTTTGCGCCAGTAACTTTCTGTAAAGTATTTACGAAACAGGAAAATGGAATCTGTTTTCCTGCTGAAAAATACTTACAGTACCAATTCAAAGTGGAAAAAAGAACATATTGCGAAAAAGAGAAAAATGAAAAAGAAAACCGCGAAGCCACTTTGAATATAAGCCACAATAGTCCAAGAATACTAGTTGCAGAAAAAAACAACAAAAAAGAAACAATTTTCTGCCTAAAATGTCTTGGATTACGGGCTTAACGATAAGAAACGTAGTTCTCGTTCCAAAGTGGAGAATAGGCTCGTTTCTTTAGGGCGTTGCGCGCGCATTTTATAAATTGTACTATAAGTTTTCAGTTGAAAAGACCGCCAGGGAAAATAGAGTGTTTTTATGTGTTTGTTTGTTGACGGACAAGTATTTTAAAATAAAGTTTTCTTGTTTACTTGTATTTCGGCACTTTAACTTGTTCTCAAACATAGCCGCCGTGAGAACACTCTGCAGATCAAGTTTATATATGGTCGCAATAGCAATATAGAATGTTTGCCATCAGTTGCATTCCGTGTTGCCTTGCATTGTTCATAGATAAGTTTGGTCGAACCATGGATCATAAAAACACCATGGTCGTGCGCAGCTAATTAACATAAGCGGCGCACGCGTGCTGCTCTAATGCGGAGTACAGTCAGTGAGTGTACTCCATCAGTGTGCAAATAGTGACGTGTGCTCTATATAGTCTGGACTCGAAAAATAAATTAAGGTGCATGTTGATCAGAATAAAGTGCGCAACGTGTCATGCATATTAATAATAAACGCGCTCAGTTGCATGCTTAGTAAAATTGAGGGCATGAAAACCAGTGCATGCTAATTTAAATTGAGTGCGCGCGTTCGCCATTTTCTTGCGCGCGATAAAGGCAAAATGCGCCAAAAATCTAAATAGAGAAATGCACACATCACATCTTCAAAATGCATCCAAGTGTCCCTGACACCTTTTACAAACTATCGTAAAATATGTTGGGCCATTGGATTCATTTGCCACGCACCTTGTCCTGAACATATCTGAAATATTTTCAGGTTTCAAGGTTCAGATGAATATACCCTTATGTGCATGGAACAATTTGTTCATAAAAAGTGATATATTTGTCTTGCGCAATCTGTAGACTGAATTTTCGGGTGGTCTACAATGTGTTTTTTTTTTACATCTCGTGAGATTTTTTTTTGAGTTCTTTTGTGCAAGATTTTTACTTTCCTGGATTTTGGTAGGTATTTGTAGGTATGGTATATATTATAGTTAATTCGGTCACGCAGGGTTGCCCCCGGGGTATTCGGTATCCGGACTCGTAATCACCAAGGTTTTTCACCAGATCCTCTGGTTTTCCTCGGGTGATTACGTATTTTTTCGTTTGGCAAAATTGTAAAAATTCCAAAACAAGAAACAGTGTCCGTGGTTCGGGACGAATTTAGTACTGTACAGAAAAATGATTATATAGCGTTGCATATTTTGATGTTCGTTCAAGTCTGTATATTCTGTAGTAATATAATTGCAATCAGTTCTTTGAATGTTTGCATGGCGATAAAATATAATTGTTTTTGTTTGTGGAAACACGACGTAAATTTATTACTGCAAAGCTTTCGATCCGTAAGCCCGGAACAAAAAACCATATTATTAGCACTGATGAAGATCCGGGCTTACGGATCGAAAGCTTTGCAGTAATAAATTTACGTGGTGTTTCCACATACAAAAACAATTATAATTGCAATCGTTAGACCTTACTTTCAATCTTTTCACAAAAACGTGGTTTGCAAAGATTCTTCTACATAACACATGTGCATATGTTATTTTTCTCAATAAAAAATGCATTGGAGAAGTAATACACAATGGGTCATTACAGAAAACACCCATACCCTAATACACCAACAATTATCACAGCGCAAATTTCCTTCTTGGGGGAGGGTTGATCTTATTTGAAACGACCCAAATACAAAGTAGCGGTAATAAATTAAAATTTTCTAACTAGTAAAATAGCAGACAATTAAATTTCCTGATGACCTGATCAATATTGTCACTAATCTAGTCTTGAAAATGGCGAAGACGCAGTACTTGAAAATTGCGACTACACAGTATTAATCGTTCGTTTCTGGGTTGAATTCCCTGAACACTGTAAAGTAGATCCTAAAAAGTAATGTTTGTGCTTTCGTGACGTATATTCTCGCAAAAGTTCCATTGGGAGGAACCGCTTCAGTATTATTTGTGACAGGGGGTGGGCCGGTTGGATTGAGTGATGGGGCCTTGGGGGGGGGGGGCAGAGGTTTAAAAATAGTTTCTGGGGGTGGACCAACATAATTATGTGGGCGACTTCGCCATTTTGATCGGCCAAAAAAGCTCGCACCCCCCATCCATAATACCCGAAGTTTCGGCACATGATTTTTTTTTAAATTTAAGGCCATGTTGTTCGAGCCAGAACAAGCTTGGTTATATGAAGTATTAAGTACTGAACGTGAAAAACAAACAGACAGACATCCAGTGTTGTACACAGGTCAGTGGCTCAGACAACTTCGGATTTTCCCGATGTTCGCCCGAAGAGTATACTTCTATAAATTATGAAATAATACTTCATATTTAATATTTTTGTTGATTTTAAGATGTTTAGAGGGGAAAATATGTTGTGTTACAATCGTGGTTGGCTCGAACAGTATGTGGAAGCGAAAATAGCTGAAATAGCGAAGGAAAAGAGATTAAAATTGGATTTTAATAGTGCGTATTTTTGAAATATTTTACCATAGTTCCCATTGCGCATGACAGTGACGTCACTTTATACGGGACTTTTTCACCACAGATTTTTGGCGGGAAAATTTGTAATGTTTGGAGAAGACAAGATGGCCGCTGGTTTACTTCGTGTCATCAAAGGGCATTTTTGTTCACAAATACCCGCTTATTTTACGTTATGGCGACTGTAATTATAACTTAATGGACAGGGGAAACGATTGTGTTGTAAAGAGAAAAATACTTGTCGTTTATATTGACTTTATATTGTGATGTTATTGCTGTGAAAGACGGCGGGAAATTTCGCCACATCAATGTACTGGTTTATAAAAAATTCTACTGGAAATTCAACCATGGATAAAGAGGCAATACTTGAATGAAAGAGCAGCTTGTGTTAATGGTAAGTTTTTAAAGGGTTTTCTGTAATATTTTTTAGTTTAAAGCTCTTCTCTCGAAGCTATACTTCGATAGACTAGTAGAGTCGGTAGACAAATATTTGGTTAACGACTTAACATTGTTTTATTCATCTCGTTGCTACCCGATTCACAACTAAGGTAAATCACATGCCTGTATAAAGTATTCTTTCTTTGTTAGAATTATTAAATATATGACCCTGCCCCCGACTCCCAGGGGATATGGTGGGGATTTCACAAATGTTAAAATTCCGGCTTAAAAATGTTGCTCAATTGTTGCATTACTTGGGTGGCTGGATCGAACAAGAAAACAAATACTGTATAAAACTTCTGACTTATAAGCCCTGGTCTTGTATTCTTTCGTAAGCGATTTTTGATGGACTTATACAGGGGGGGGGCTTATTTATAGGGGGGGTGGCTTATACATGGACAATCTTTTGTGTTAGTGTAATAGTGATAAACAAGTATAGTAATAGATCTGATAAACAAGTGTTAAGCATAGTAATAATAGTGATTACAGTCGATTTCACGAAACTTTGACCACAAATGTTCCGAACTTCGTTGCAAAGTTCGCAAGTTTGTTGCGAAGTTCGGAAGCTCATACTGGAATTCACAAGCCAATTTGTAAGCAAAGTCCCTGATTGGTCCATGAAGTAAAAGAAGCCAATCAAATGCGTAGTTTACGAACTGGTTTGTGAATCTCATTATGAACTTTTGAACTTCGCAACAATCTTGTGAACTTCGCAACGAAGTTTGGAAAATTTGTGGTCAAAGTTTTGTGAAATCGACTGTAATAGTAGTAATAGTGATAAACAATAGTGATAAACAAGTGGGCTTATATTCGGGTGGGTTTATTTCACATAGGGGCAGGGGGAAAATCTTATCTTACACTGATATAGGGGTGGAACCTTATGTTACAATAGGGGCAGGGGATAACTTATCTTACACTGATATAGGGTGACACCTTATGTTACATATAGGGGCAGGGGTATAAACCTTATCTTACACTGATATAAGGGTGAACACCTTATGTTACATATAGGGGCAGGGGTATAAACCTTATCTTACACTGATATAGGGGTGAACGCCTTATGTTATTTATACAGGCAGGGGTATAAACCATATCTTACACAGATATAGGGGTTAACACTTTGGGTTGTGACTATTTTCCACAAATAATTTGAAAACTTACCATCAATGACCCCAGCAAAGAGGGTTGAATTTCAACCCCGGGGTTGATAATAATGTAATGTAATTGTGTGTTTGATTTTTTTGAAGCATCGGGCATTGTAATGAATGGATGATAATGTGAGTCGCTGGCAAACCTACAGCCCCTACTGCGATAGGCAGTCAAGTATTTTTAACCTGCACATTTTTGTTTTTATTTCCCTTATTTTTTTTTTATGTTCATAAATATGACTCATGACTTTTAATATTGGAAGGAGTTGAGAGTCCCCACTCAACTGCATGCCTTCTGAATAATAATTATAGACTCCATTTTACATGCTACCATTTTACCTGTGAGAATTTTTTGAAAATTTTGAGATTTGAAAGCTATTGCTTTCAACTATATAGAGCCCAACTATATGTCATTGGCTCCGGGAATAAATGGGTGTACTGCATGTTTGTGTTGAATGGTTTGAAGTGTTGCAGTATCTTAATAAAGTTGTGATATTATTTCAGTGCTGTTTCTATGAAGGCCCAGCTTGCTATAGCTATATATGCCTTAGCCTAAATAATTTCAGTTCTATTTCAATTAAAACATTTTAAGTACTTTCCATAAAGGACAGCTCGCTATGGCTATATGCCTTAGCCTAAATAATTTCAATTATATTTCAATTAAAACATTTTAAGTACTGTTTCCATAAAGGACAGCTTGCTATTGGCTATATGCCTTAGCCTGAAAAATTTCAATATTAAATTTAGCATTTAACTATATTGCTTAAGCTTTTGAAATAGACATCGCAGTTTATTGATATTCAAATTTATTAAGATTACTGCCTATGTGACATGTTTTAGTTATGATGAAAGGCAAGTATAAAGTGCATGCCATTGGAGTAAAAGTGTATTTATGTTTTATAAAACTGTGCAGTAGTTTTACACGACTATATATACAGTGTTACTAAACTGCATGCTAAAAGTTTCTGTTGACTGTTAGAATGGTGGCTTGTAATTGGGGGTACCTGGCTAGGATTTGACATTTAAATATTTACAAGTGCATTAGGTCTCTTACGTTTAGTTTAAGACCAACATGAGCGAGTGAGATAAACTCAACTAGCTTAGGTTATGGCATCAAGCGTGAATTCCGTGGAATGAGTGCGTGCACTAGACCCCTCAGGATCGGATCCCAAACCTTTTTTCAATACCAAATGTGAAATTACCCCACCTTACCACATCGTTGAAGAATTATGGTGGATATCTTGGGCAAATGTGCAATACTATGAGGGATATCTTGGGCAAATGTGCATTTTCTTGGTGGATATCTTGGGCAAATGTGCAATACCATCAGGAATATCTTGGGCAAATGTGCAATATGATGAGGGATATCTTGGCAAATATCTATAAATTTATCTTAAATTGCTAAAGAACAATGTTGTAAGGTTAGTGGATATTTATATTAGCGATAGAATGGGGGTTCCTTGCGCATAGGAACGTAAGGTTGGCTGATGAAGTGTAACAATCTAACAATATAGACTTTGATGACTTGAACCATGGATAATAAAATAAATGGATAGGAAACTAGCTGACGTGACCTAATCTTTTCAATGGGCTGATGGCGTGATTGGATGTTCAAACCTAGTTTCAAACCAAATTCTAAAAAACGACATGTTTAGCAATAATACAGCTAAACATTTTAGTCAAAGAGCAAATGAATATAACTACGCCATTCTAAGATGAAATCTCTAAGTATTCCCAGTCAATTTTAGCAAATATCTCAAGCACTAAACAGTGAAAAATGCATCCCAAATTTCGTTAAAATTGGGGACGAAAACCATTTACCTTGAATACTTTGTCGTGGCTTAGGCATTTTTTTAAAACAATTAGACCAGTTTATGCTTCAATAGCAATACGCGTGACGTCACATGAAAACCGATCACACGCATTACAAGCGCAGCAACACGCAACAGTTTAGACAGGGTCATGAGGCAGGATGTGTACAAGAAAAGCTTTGCCAGAGTTTTGTGTTTCAAAATAGAACGACGATTGGAAATAACTGTTTGATTCTTTGTAATATCTTGTAGCTTGTTAGTAAAAAAGAAATTTGTCACTTTCCTCATCTAAACATTTTTTCAAAAAAGCTGGCATCGTTTGTCTTGGGGTTAGGGGGTACAAATGGTACCCATAGCTTAGAGGGTGCAAATGGTACCCGTAAGAAGACTTGGTGGAAATCATGTTGGTCGTTTGGATCGGCGAGAATAAGACAATTATGGCGGCAAAGTTTTTTTTAAACATTTTCTCTCCCGTAGCAAGGTAAAGCATGTATATTCCTGGTAGCCGGTCTTACTTCATGAAAAACAGTCCGCTTCCAGTGACTAGGTCCCCTCATTTTTGGACAATTATTACTGTTTGAAAAATAGTATCCTGCTGATGTAAAATAACATCTAAAGGGTTTGGCAACAATGATGTCCAAAGAGAATGTTAGCCCCAAAGTTTATTTCATAAAATGAGTTATCTTTATGTATACTCAATTAAAAGGCAGTTCAAAAAAATTTCGGGTAAAATTTTGATAATAATTGATATAAATTGAAACTCATTCTGGCTCAAATTTTATTTCATAAAATATTTTTCTCAGAATACTCAATTACATGATAATTGAAAAAGAATATTTGTTAAGTCAAAAGTTTAATAATATTTATCATAATTCATATTCAAAGTGACTTTGGCTCAAATTTTATGCCCGAGTAGATTGTGTCCACAGAAACCCGAGGTATTATACTTGATGCGAAATACAACGTTAAAACATTAAAACTAAGTCTAAAGTCAGATAAGGTTTTCATATAGTCATAAGTCAGAGCATAATACTCGCCTTAAGCGAAAAGATTATTTTCTCCACAATTTCACGTAAACCCAAACGGTGGTGACGGAATTTCCCAGCAATTATTTGTGCTGAATTTGTGCTAAATCGAGAAATTTAACCAAAATATAATTTTGCCCTCACCTGGTTATATGGGGCTTCGGTGGCCAAGTGGTTAGCGCACTTGCCTTTCACCTCTGAGGCTGCAAGTTCGAGTCTCACTAAGTACCTTCTCAACGCGACTCGAACCCAGTCCCCATGTGAAAAGAGTAAAAGTCAACGCTCTGCCGAAAGCCGTGGGTTTTCCCCGGGTACTCCGGTTTCCTCCCACAGGGAAAGTTGACAGGGTGGGTTAGGTAAAAGGGCCCACAGTAATTGGCATATGCTGTTGTGGTGACCCTGCCCTAGTTGGCAAAAGCTAAATAAAAAGTTTTCGTCAAAAACACTACTGAAATCATGGCTTTGAAAGGGTTGACTTAGCCTGAAAACCCAATAATTTCCAATTCCTTCTCTGTAATATGCATCTTTAGTTCACTTTTATACATCTTTACGTAAACATGTTTCATATTAGATCCATATGACAAGTTGGGTATCCTATAACATAGATACGACAGGCCCTCTACTCTCTGGAGATAAATTGGTACAGAATGGCTGAAATTGAGTATACTTGAAAGAGACTTTAATGAAATAAAATTTGGGGCTAATGGCTTAATGCATATGTCGTCTTTCGTTTAAAGGAAAAATACCACACTCTCTAAGCGTCATTGTTGCAGACACAAGCGTGAAATGGAATTGCGCTAGAGGAACTAGATGAAAATACGAACAAAAGCACCACATTTTGGTTGAAAGTATGGCAGGACTGGGCGTAAATTGGTGAGAGAATATATAATATGTTTGCGATGTTACTCTGAGTGCATATCCACACCTGGCGAGCTTGAAAAAAGCTCGCCAGGTGTGGATATGCACTCAGAGTAACATCGCAAACATATTATTCACCTGAGTACACAACACCGTAACAGAATATATAATGTTAACATTGAGAAGTATCCAATTTTGTTGTCATGCCAATAATAAACAAGTAATCATGCGATGTTGCTCGTACAATTATGGATTAATAGTACTCGTGTTGTTTGGAAATTTTGCCAAATTGAACTCGCCCCGGCGGCTCGTCCAATTTTGGCAAAATTTCCAAACATCACTCGTACTATTAATCCCTAATTGTACTCGCCATCGCATGATTATCTATACTAACTGCACAATTATTGCGAAATTGTGCGTTTATCACATTATTAAAATTAGTAAGGTCTGTGAACATTGGCACAACTGCTTGTTCTCATGCATAAATTTTTAACTAGTTTTTGGGATTGGATTTATTCAACTAGTTTTAAATACGTTTGAATTTAATTTCATAACATGCAGTATTTCAAAAGTTTTGAAACAGATAATCGATCAGAACTTTTGGGATGCAAGCATGTATGAAATTCAATTCAAAACTAGTTGTGTTCCAGTTATTTCAAATATAATATCTAGTGTTTTGGTGTACAATTTTAACATTTTTATGCTCAAATTTTTTGTTACCATCAAACTATTAATTTAGGGTTTCGTCATGTATAAAATGAACGAACAATTAACAAACAATTCTAAATATATTTCGTAAACAATCGCATATATTTCAACTGCTAAGACAATATAAAAGCTATAAAAAACTAGAACAAAGTATAAACGAACAATATTTTACTCATAGAATGAGTAACATACCAATATGTGTTCAAAATACCTCAAATTTGAATAAATCCAATCCCAAAAACTAGTTTAAAATTTATGCATGAGAACAAGCAGTTGTGCCAATGTTCACAGACAATTCACAGTACTATTTGGTTTGTGGGTTCAAATCCCAAAACACTTAATTTTTATTTATAAAAAAGGATCCAAAGGATCCGATGGATAAATAGATCCTTTTAAAAAAAAGGATCTAATGGATGCGATGGATCCAAAGGATCCGATGGATAAATAGATCCTTTGTTTAAAAGGATCCAATGGATCGGATTCCTTTGTTAAAAGGATCGGATGGATCCAATGGATCCGATGGATAAATAGATCCTTTGTTTAAAAGGATCCAATGGATCGGATGGATCCAATGGATCGGATGGATCCGATGGATAAATAGATCCTTTGTTTAAAAGGATCCAATGGATCGGATGGATCCAATGGATCCGATGGATAAATAGATCCTTTGATTAAAAGGATCCAATGGATCGGATGGATCCAATGGATCCGATGGATAAATAGATCCTTTGTTTAAAAGGATCCAATGGATCGGATGGATCCAATGGAGGATTTATTCAAATTTGAGATGATTTTGAACACATATTGGTACCAATGTTACATTCTATGAGTATAGTTTTTATAGCTTTTATTGTTTTAACAGTCGAAATATATGTTTGTTATTTGATGAACCCCGAAATTTATAATAGTTTGATGGTCACAACAAATTTGAGCATATAGCTCAAATGTAATATTTGAACTCGCTAGAACACAACTAGTTTTAAATACGTTTGAATTGAATTTCATACATATTTCAAATGTTGTGATTATCTGTTTCAAAACTTTTGAAATCATGCATACAGCGTTTTCAATATTAAGTGTCCCGGCAAAGCGGAAAAGTCGAATACGAGCGCGAAAGGCTGACAAGGTTCCTGACTGACGACTCAGTTGTTAGCGATTCCCAGCAGCCTTTCGCGCTCGTATTCGACTTTTCCGCTTTGCTCGTGGACAACCTTAATATTGAAATAGCTGTATGCATGATTTCAAAAGTTTTGAAACAGATAATCACAACATTTGAAATACTGCATGTATGAAATTCAATTCAAACGTATTTAAAACTAGTTGTGTTCTAGCGAGTTCAAATATTACAGCTAGTGTTTTGGTGTACAATTTTAACATTTTTATATGCTCAAATTTGTTGTGACCATCAAACTATAAATTTCGGGTTTCATCATGCATAAAATGAACGAATAATTAACAAATAATTCAAGAAAATCAACATATATTTCGACTGTTAAAACAATACAAGCTATAAAAACTAGAACAATGTATAAACGAACAGTATTTTACTCATAGAATGAGTAACATTGGTACCAATATGTGTTCAAAATCATCTCAAATTTGAATAAATCCAATCCCAAAAATTAGTTAATAATTTATGCATGGGAACAAGCAGTTGTGCGTCTTGTAATTCAGTATTTTCAAAGATAAATCATTTTATGAAATAAACTTTAGGGCTAACATCCTCTTTGGACATCATTGTTGCCAAACCCTTTAGATGTTATTTTACATCAGTAGGATACTATTTTTCAAAAACTGACGAATTTCGAAACTACAGTTTTTGCAAGAAATCATTGTTATAAACTTTCGTTGAAGCTATCAAAGTCTACTGAACAGAAAATAGATCGAATGTGTAAATATACTGAACATTTAGACCCCCAGGATTTATGCCGGATTTCATTGTACCCATGAGAACAACAAAACAAACAATGGCTTGGGTACAAGTATCGACATATCTACAACTTGTTCGCAGGCAAACAAGAACAGCATCTAACCTGTTTTTTGTCCCTTTACGAAAAATGGAAAAAGTCGCTAAAAATGGACGAAAAGTTAAGGGTATAATAGCCTTACTTTTCTGCTGTTTTTTACCCACTTATGAAAAGTCGCTAAAAATCTGACTTATTTGCTGTTTTCTGCCCAGTTATGAAAAAGTCGTCTTATCTGTTTCAAGCATTGTAGTTGTTCGTTTTAAATTCGTTCTTCCGTTGAAGCGATTTCTTCACTTTCTTTTTTTTTAGTTTTTCGTTTTAAATCACTTTGTTCTTCTGTTGAAGTGATTTCTTCAATTTCTTTTTTTTTTAGTTTATCACTTTCGACTAATAATCATGATAACGTAATTGTGATGTTTGTTACTTTAATGCTGATTTTTGAAATTTCTCAAGCTTTACTCTTGATATCTTGCTTTTTCTTAAACATTTCCTGTGAGATTAAAAAAATTCCTGGCAGCATGCTGCCAGACTTTCTCATGCCTTCAGCCATGGAATGGAAGAAGACATGCACATGGATAATTTATTTATTTATTAACTTCAGCTGTCAACAGAAATATAAACATATGCAAACAGGAAGATGGTTCAGGAACACTAACACAGCGTGAGCCAATTACGTTAGTGACCTGTTACAAAACATCATTACACAAAACTTCACAACTTATAATTTAAATATCATGCAAACAAGAATATAGGCTAGTATAATCCTTTTTATCCGAAGTAGAGAGAGAGAGAGCGTAAAAAATTTCAAAATTTGAAAAAACAAAATGACAAAATTGTCAAACAGAATAAATGCAAGAATATATATAGATTCTGTATATATTCTAATATATATGTTATATTATTATTATTCTGTATATATTTTTATATTTTATATATTCTCTATATATTCTGTACCAGTGTGCATTCCATGCACTCCACGCTGGATATATCCGGCGTGAGGTTACAAAAGTGTTGGTGTAATGGCGTGAGATCACTCGAAAACAAGTGATTAGTCATTTTTGAGAGTGCTCGATTTTTTTTTGGACCTCACCGACTCCGCACGATTTTTTTTATCGAATCTTGCCGCGTGCACGATATTTTTTAAAATTTTTACTATAGCGTTAATACAATAATAACCACGTATGGTTATATTCCGGTTGAAGAATGTATTTGAATATACAGCATATAACCACAAAATAGGAAAGTATAGCAGAAGTGTAACCCACGAAAATTTTAACTCGCTCACGCCGGCGTGATTGATGATCGGACGAATCACTTGTAAAAACGCAGACAAATACTTGCTTGAGTGAGACTTCTGGTATACCTTCCTATTTTATGATATAACTATCACAGCCCATTTTATTAAGCCTTTTTAGGGGTGTCCGGGGCATTCTCCCGGGAAAATTTTGAAATTGGAGTCCCTCAATGGCGATTTCCCGTGTTTCTGGGGAGAGATTTTGCATAATTCTGAAGATTATTTACTGCAGGAAAGACCTGATTTTTAACGATTTCTCAATAATGTGGATCCTTAATTTGACTCAACGAAGCTTACTTGGTCGCGTGTAAATAGTTAAATCGAAGTTTTAAAACGCATTTTAACCAATAACCACCATAGGCATTATTTTCTGTAGTTAGATTTAGGAAAGATTAGAACTTTTATAGACAATTTGGTGAACAGATGAGATTGGTAGTCACATGGGTAGTCATCGTCCCCCCCCCTAATTTCTACTTGTATCGCGTGCCACCAGAGGTTCTCTTCGCCTCGCGTAAAATAAATATGAGCGGGAATAAGGCGAAAGATACAGAACCTCTGGCAACCAGGGTAAACGAAAAGTAGCCGGCAGCTCATTCTGAAACCCGTTTTATTGCAGAAAGTTTTTCATTGTAAATACAATATATATAATATGGACTGAAGGAAAATCTTAAACATTGATTCACACTTGAAAACCAACATTCAACAATAATATAACATAAAATTTGTGAAAATCTTAAGCCAACATTCAATAATATATTCAACAATAATATAACATAAAATTTGTTTAACATATTTAATAGTCGTCCATTTTGGCATACAACAAGGAAACTTGTGGCCGCAGTCTTTTCTCTGTGAGCAACAAATGCCCGGGGGTAATAACCTGATATTGACAAATGCCCGGCCCCCGGGTGAACAGCAGCTGCAAGTGCCTGGCCATGGGGACAAGTAAGCGTACAAATGCCCCACACTGTCCAGTGGGAGGGAGGGGTAATCGCAGCTGGAATTGACTGATGCATATATATCTGGGCGTTGCCAAAAAAGGCCTTCGCTGAAAACGTTTAATTTCGCTTTGTTTTTTGAGATAGTTGAATCCTTACTAACACAAGCTTGTTACCACTGGCACTAACTACGTTGGTTGATAATTTTTAATTAAAACCCTGCTTTTAATAAACCCCAGCAAATTGAGACATATGGCATCTTTTGAAGGAATTTGCAGCCCTTTTTTAACGGCTAAGAACACAAGAAAGTCCATTCTTTAAAGATAAGTGGTAATACTTGGATATTACTCGAAAAAATAAAGGTTTTAGAACGAATGCATTTCCTGCACTTTAGAAGGAGATTTACAGAGTTCTAAATGGAACAAAATGTCATAAAATACCTCAAGTTATTTTATCTACAGCGTAACTGAAATAATATCATTTAACTTTGTTTATTACTGCTGTTGTTACCCCATTAAAAAAGTTTCAACGCCCCTGGAGATAACTAAAAACTATAAACAGAGTGACGTCATTCAGGGAGACAAAATTGAATAATGAAATATAAATTCTCAATTTCTATTCTCTGTTAAATTGTGCCCAGATTGAGGCTTATTTTACGCTTTATTTTCTTCATGTCATGAAATTTTTGATAGATTTATATTATAATAGTTTTGTTTGTGGAAACACCACGTAATTTCATTACTGCAAAGCTTTCGATCCGTAAGCCCGGATCTTCATCAGTGGTAATAATATGATATATTATTTAACAATTATTCGCCAAAGGCGAGGTGATTATCGGTGAATAAAAACCGAGACGAAGTCGAGGTTTTTATTCACGATAATCACCGAGCCTGAGGTGAACAATTGTTTTAGTATAATTTCATAGGTGATTATTTGGAAAAAAATTTAAAAATGCACATTTCTTCATCTTTTAATTAATTGACAAAACGGCTTCAGCCGCCATTTTGACAATCGCTTAGGTGATTATCACGTAATAATCACCTCAACGGTAACCAATCAGTGTGGAGAATTTTCAATAATCACCTATATAATTATACTAAAACATATTAAATTACTAACTGTGAACAACAATTAAATTCAAATTAGTGAAGCAAGTTGATGGGCAGGTGGCACGCAGATTAATGGGTGATTCCAGCAGTATGGACTAAATTTTGATCAAGGCAAGAAGAACAATATCCAACAGCACAGCTAGAAAGAGCACCCTCACAAATTTTGTATATATTTGCATTACGCGCGGGAAGCGGGAAAAATAACCTCTTTCGGTTCAAAAATGGTTATTTTTTCCGCGCGTAATGCAAATATATACAAAATTTGCGAACTTCACAGGGCTATATTTTCTTTATTTTACAACATTTCGCAACCAAACTTTGCAATTTTACTCATTTTAAGATGCTCTTTCCAGCTATGGTAATGGTTTCATTCCTCTTGTCTAGATCAAAATTTCGTCTTTTCCTGCAATCATTTATTATATTATATTATATATCTTTGTTTCAGATATTCCAACCATTACTTTCAACTATTTCACAAGAAGGAACTACAAAACTTGCGCAACAGATAGTGCATTTGCACACTTTAACATCGGAGATGAAAGACAATCGGAGGCACCTCGGCCGTCGACCAAGAAAACTTGACATTATCAGACTCTGAATTCTCAAAACTTCCAAATGAACTATTACTGCAGATATTCTTCTATCTCTCGCCGCGCGACCTCTGCCGCTGTGCGCAAGTTTGCAGGCAGTGGTCCGAGGTCTCGTGGGATGGGCTCTATGGCAACAGCTTCATCCAGTGCGATGGATATTTCGGGATGATTGGAGGATGGGCATGGACGAATATGAACATTGTACGTGTAACGATGGATCGTGCGAGGATAAAAATCAGTGGGATAGAGAGAGGTACGGAGTTAGACTTTCTCGCGAAGGCCAAAATACGCCATTTTTGGGTTGTCTCCCCTCGTGAAAAATTCAGACAATGGCCATTTGCATTATAGACTAAATTTTATCTAAACAAGTCTAGACAAAAATTTCATCACAGCTTGAAAGAGCATCACAAAATTAGTAATATTCCAAAGTTTCGTTGCGAAATGTTGTAAAATGCGGATAATATAGCCTTGCGAAATTTGCAATTTTCAGTCATTTTGTATTACAAACGGGAAATTGATGCCCCAACACCCGATTGGGCTGTCAATTTCCCGTGCGTAATACAAAATGACTGAAAAACGGCAAACTTCGCATGGCTATATTATCCACATTTTACAACATTTCGCAACGAAACTTTGGAATATTACTAATTTTGTGATGCTCTTTCAAGCTGTGATGAAATTTTTGTCTAGATCAAAATTTAGTCTATAATGCAAATGGTCCATTCAAACAACGTGAAAAACGACATTCCGAAGTTCCTAACTTCCTGTTTCCCCAATCAAATTTTATATTTTATTTTTGAGCAATCTGAATGAAACCTAACTAGGAAAATCAATTAAGCATAATTCAAGATCACCAAACTCAATGTTTTTAACATTTTAAAACATTTTTATTATTAAAAACATCGAGTTTACTGATTTTGAATTATACTTAATTGATTTTCCTAGTTAGTTTTTTCAAGAACGAAAACAAACATTGAAAATGTAATATTCAAATTCAATTTTCTCCCGAAAAATTTTACGGTAATCACTGATTTTCAAACGAATTGTGCTCCTGCGGGTTTTAACCAATTTTTCTCAAATTTTCACAGGACATAGCTAAATACGTCAGTTTCAAAATTGTGTTCGAATTCACTCTATATATTGCAGTCGTCAAAGAAATCGCCATATCAGCGGAACGACGAAATAAACAAAAATTTCCGGACACAATTTTTTAGAACAACTATTTTATTGTGTAAAAATGTTATTTTCATAAATATAACTTAAAACCAGCAGGAGCACAACTCAAAAGCGTAAAGGTACCGCGATTTAAGATTTTCTTGAATAATTCTTACATTATTTTATTGTTTGTTAATTTTACAACTTTACCACATTTTGCATGCACTGGAGAACATTTGGTGAAAATTTGATGAAAATCGGACTGATATTGAGCGCGCAGTAGCGATTTTCCGCAAAACGCCAAAAAGGGTGTCCTGTAACCTTAAGTAGCAATTTATTCGTGTGAGATGTCATTTCAAATCTCTTAACTTCGTTACAATTCCTGTTCTGTTCTGCGCGTTGTAATTGGCTAACAAAAATAATCTGCCAATGATAACGCTCAGAACAGAACAGAACAGGAAGTCAGGAAATTAAAACAGGAAGTTAGGAAAATTTGAAAGGAACTTTATTTGTGTTGGAATATTGCAACGGCCGACAGGAAAATTGCAAATTCCCTCAAGGATTTGCAAAGCGTTTTTCAAATTTGCAAAACTGATTAGTTAGGAAGGAATGAGGTGAGCTTTAGTACCTGTAGTGGGCTTGTACATGGGGGGGGGGGG